TCCTGCAAGAACAGTGACCCCTAGAGGCTTGTGCTGGGTAGCTGTGTGCAGGCAGGGTTTCTAATTCTTGCCCAGTCACTGTGGAGCTCCGCGGTTGCTGTGGGCGTGGCCAGTCTCAGGCTGCTTCTCCAATATGGTGGAGCTGCGTCGGAGGGGGAACTGGCAGGAGGCCATTTATCACCATGTGGGGCCTCTGAGCTGTGCTGCCGCCCTAGGGGTTAGGGTGCCTGGAGTTCCCTGGGATTCCCAGCTGCTGGCCTAAGTGTCCCGGGACGCTTCCATCCAGCTGTGGGGTCCCTGTTTCTTTAAGACATTCAAAAAGCACTCACTTTTCTTTGTCTCAGGGGCGCCAGATGTGGGGACCCGCTCACAGGTCTTACTGTCCTGTTTCCCTAGTTTGCAGCACCCCACACACACACTGTGTCTGCGCTCCGGTGCGGATGGCTAGGGCTGGGTGTTTAGCAGTCCTGGGCTCCCTCTCCCTCCCTGCTCCGACTCCTCTCCTCCCGCCTGGAGCTGGGGTGAGGGGTGCTCGAGTCCCGCTGGGGCCACGGCTTGTACCTTACCCCCTTTGCAAGGCGCTGGGTTCTCGCAGGTGTGGATCTAGTGTGGCTGTTGTCCTGTGTCTTCTGGTCTCTCTTTTAGGAAGAGTTGTATTTGTTGTATTTTCAAAAATATATATGGTTTTGGGAGATTTCCGCTGCTCTACTCATGCCACCATCTTGGTCCTCCTCTAATCTGCTTTTAAATCCCTCCATTGTGTGTTTCATGTGGATAGTGTATTTTTCAAACTTTGTCTTTCTTGAAGTCCTCCCTGAGGTCTTGAATCTTTTTCTGTAGCTCTGTAAGCATGTTTATGATTTTTATTTTGAAATCTTTATCAGGAAGTTTGGTGATTTCAGTTCCACTTAGTCATCTTTCTGGTGTTTGTGGAAGTTTGGTTTGTACCAGGTTCTTTTCCCATTTCATAATCCTAATAATTACTATGGAATAACTTTGTGTAAGCAGCACCTCTAGTGCCCAGAAGCTCTACTGTCTGGAGCTACTTACCCCCTGGAGTAATGGCGAGGGTCACCATGAGGAACCAGTGCCTACTGGGAGAAAAGATCCCCTTCCTGCTTCTCACCCACAGTGCCTGCCTCCACTGCCAGGGCCAGTGGGCCGAGTGCACAAGGTGGAGCCTCTATGCTAGGCCCTTGTAGCTGCTGGCGGGGGGGACTGCCCTCTGGCTGTCCTGGCGGGGACAGCAGTTTACAACCTGGTGCCACTGGGAGGACGAGTGGCAGGTTTTGTACTGCAGTGGGGAGTTTTGGTGCTATATTGGCAGCCAGAGTGCTGGAGCATGTGAACCTACTGAAACTTCCCAACCTGCTGGGCTGAGTGTGCCAGGACAATTTTGTCCACCAATCCTTTCTCCTGAGCAGCTAGGTCTGGGTAATCCTTGCCCCTTTAGCAGCCCTCTCACTGTTGGGAATTCTTTCAAAGTGCCTGCCTTTCTTTTGTCCTGGAGTGGGCAGTTGTGGGTACCTGTTCTCCACTAGTGGCTGGAATCTCAGTTTCTCCGAGTATTCTGCCTGTTCTTACTTTCCACCCCCACAGAGCACCATGTAATATGGGTTCATACTCCCGGAATAGATCTCCGGGCTGGGTATTTAGCAGACCTGTGTTTCCAGTCCCTCCCTGCTCTACTTCTCTTCCTCCCATCTATGAGCTGGGGTTTGGATAGGGCTTGGGTGCCACCGGATCACGGCTTTGCTCTTTAGTCTTTTCTGTGAGGTCTCCTCTTTCCCCCAGATGTAGGCTGTCTTTTCCAGTCTTCTTTCCAGTTGCTCTTTCAGGATCAGTTGTATTTGCTGTATTTTTGTGTTATATGTAGTTTGGGAGATTTCTACTTCACTTCTCATGCTGTGATCTTGTTTAATCCCTCATGTTTTTCTTTTTTACTCAAACTCATTTATTCCTGTATCAATAAACTTAGCATGACCATCTTTCCACATGCATTCATAGTGGTAGATTTACCTCATTTATATTGAGAATGTGTTGATTTAAAATTACAGAAGTGCCACACAAATACATGTCTTCGTGCCTGTCCACATCCCTGATGACCCAGCTGTGATGAGCCCTGGTCAGGTATCTGTAGAATGTTCCACAATTTGGATTTGTCTGATGTTTTTCTAATGAGGAGACAGGGTTTCTGGGCTTTAGGTGAAATACCACAGAGGTTGGTGCCTTTTTCATGTCATGTCCTACCAAGTAATACATGGTATCATATGCTTCCTTCAAGAATAAAAACTGTTTAGTAGGAAAATTCCTTATATATGTACACAAAGACATACATAAAAATGTCAGGAACAGAGTTAGTACTGTTCACTGGCTGCCAGTTACCAGTGTTTCCCATTGTTTCTGGATCCTTTTCCATGTGCTTGAAAGATGAGTTTTCTGCCTTCCTTTTTTTTCCTCTTCTTTCCTTCCTCCTTTTTTTTCCCCAAAAGGAAAGCATTTTATTCGATTGTTTTGGGACTAAGTTGTTAGTGACTCCCTTCTTTTTTAAACACAAAAGACGGTGATTAACAGTGGAGAGAACATAGCTGACAGCTAAACAGAGGAGCATCAAGCATCTAGGCAAACTGACATGCAGGAATTCCTCCCGTTTATGGCCTTTTGGTCTTTGCCACACTTCCAGTTCCACCTGAGGTGACTGGTCCATCCCATATACTGTATTCCCAGTCTAGACTCCTCAGGCTGACAGTGAAAGGGACCTGAGTCAAATTGTTTAAGCAAAAGATGAAATTCACTGGCTCAGAGACTTAAGTAATCAAGTAGAACTTGATCCTTGGGCTCACCTGGTGCCCCTTTCCTTGCTGTTTCCCCTCTGTGGCTCCCATTGGAGATGCCCAGATCACTGCTGGCAGCATGCACTGCCTTCCAGGTTCTCAGTCACCCAGGTGAGGGCAAGTCTCCCCACAGTCACTTCAATGCAAACCAAAGGAGTGAACTTCATCATACGAATCTGGATCACTACCCTGCATCTCCTGGGCCCATCACTGGGCTGATGTAATTCTTTGAGAATGTAATTCTTGATAACTCAGCCCTGAGACTAAGACTTGAATTAATTTAAGTAAGACCACATGGGATGAATAGAAGAAAAGGTACTTCTCCTAATAAAACCTGAGTTAGTGTCATAAAGCAGGTTGTGGCTCGATGTAAAACAGTAAGCCATCCCTCCAGACACCTTGCCCATGTCTTTCTTTCCCATCCTCTCCTCTTCTTCCAACGCTGGCCGATGGGCCCACTCTACTCCATGTCCCTCACCATTACCCCAAAATAATTCTTTCAAAGCACATTTCCTTTGCCTGTAGCCAGTCAGGTACCATGCTGGGGGTAGACAGGGCACAGCCCACTCTATGTGCATCTGTGGAGAATTTAAAGACAATCAGGAAACTGAAATTAAATCTTTTTATCATCTCTGTATGCTAGTAATTCTAAACAGTGTTGGTCATGGTCCTTGAGAAAAAGAAAAGACATGCAACATTTCTGGCACCACAGAGGCTTCTTTAAGGAAATGTTTTAAAACTTAATAATCTGATCCCAATTTTCCATTCACAGATGCTGGAAACTCAGTCTCAGACATGCTTAGGGTCCCCTGGCCTTGTGGGGATGGGGAAGGCGTTCTCACTTCTACTATTAGTGTCCCCTTCCCCTTGGGGATTATTTACCCCCAGGAATAGGCTGTTTCTGCCCCCACTTTTCAACCATCCCTGGAGAAGGTCCTGAGCAACTTCCTACTTGGGCCAACTTTTTGGGGCCTAGGGTAGGGCAGAGGGGCTCAATGTTAACAGCTCATTTTCCTGACTCACTGTCTTCATTTCATTACTATTCCCAAAGACTTGCCAGGTGTCCAGTGGTCCTCTAAGCTGTTCTCAAAGTTGCTCTGCAGGTCAGCCAAGTATATGAGGCTGGCTTTTCTTTGCATATCTTATCCAAAGCAGTATAATGCAACAGATTGAATGCAGCAGCAGATGTCAGAATCCAGCTATCTTCTATAAAGCCAGACTTGAGAGGTTTTCAAAAATACAAAACTACCACTCTGGTTATTTTTGGTAAATAAAAAGAGTGAGCTTATGTTTAAATGAAAGAAAACTTAAAACATTGTAAAATTTACAATAAATTTATGGTATAGTAAACTTGACTGATAGAACCCACATTATCAAAACCTTTTTGAGACCCTCAATCATTTTAAAGCTAAGAGTCTGGGAAACGCTGATGTAATTTACTCCTCACAGCAGCTCTATTAGGGAGTGTTAGTCCCAGTTCCAGTTCATAGATGGAGAATCTGAGGCCCGGAGTTGGGGTATCTGCCCTCTGCCTCACCGCTCTTGGGCCGCCCGGGAGCCTCGTGCTCAAGGCTCAAAAAAACTATGCCGGTGAAAGCGCCACTGGATAGTCCGCTAGCCTCCAGGCGGTTTTTCTCGTTTGCAGGGCGGAGCGGGGAGGCCGAATTTACTATCTTATGGGGCCACTGCGCTGAGTCTGTTAGGTAACGAGAAACAGCGCTGTTAACCTGAGGAGTGAGATGAGCCATATTCCGTCCACAGGAAAGAACGGTGAGGCCCAGAGTCAACCAGCGCTTTGCTGGGTCCCACGATTGAGCGGTCCGGGCCCCAGAAAGCCCTTCCGCCGTGCGCCTGCCCCGCCCCCTCCCACCTGCCGGGACCCCAGTTCCCGCGCCAGACCACTCAGCGACCTGCAGCCAGCCATCCGCTCCTCCCGCCCGCCTTACTTCGGGTGCCCAGCCTGGAAACCTCCCTTCCGCTTCTCAAGACCGCGCTCCGGAAATGAGTTCCAGCCTGGAAACCTCCCTTCCGCTTCTCAAGACCGCGCTCCGGAAATGAGTCACTAATGCCAGTATCTAAGATGGCCGTGACCCGTGCGCCATAGTAGTCAATGGAGGAGAAGCGGATGCGAACCCGGAAGTTGCCAGGCTCGGCCATGGCAGCCTCAGGAGGCGTGGCTTCCGGCGGCCCTCGTCTGCTAGTGGGGGCGGCGGGGTCGAGTGGAGCCACGGCTGACAGGCACTCCTCCCCCGGTGGCGGCGGCTGCGCCCAGGCGGACTGGCTGCCCTAGCTCGCGGCCTCGCGACGCTCCAGGGCCGCACTGGGGCATGGACGAGGGGAAGATGGACGAGAATGAATGGGGGTACCACGGCGAAGGCAACAAGAGCCTGGTGGTAGCCCATGCGCAGGTGAGTGAGGGACGTCAGGCACGGTCCGGGGCTCCTCCCTCCCCCCCGGCGGTACCACGTCCCCCCAGCACTTCTCTCTCCGTGTTGGTCCCCTAGCTTCTCCTTCTCCCGGCTCGGCCTCCCAGCACCCCTGTCCCTGGTCCGCTTCCGTCTGTCCCCAGCGCCCCATCTCCCGGGTCGGTTCCTCGTTTCCCCCAGCACCCCTTGTCCCTGGGACGGTGCTCCGTCCCCCCAGCTTTCCCCTTCTCCGGAACGGTGCCGTGACCCCCAGCACTCCGGCCTGGCGTCACGCGGTGCGGCCTCCAGCTGCCCGGAGCGGCGGATACCAGACAGAGACGGAGGTTCTGGCAGCTGCGGAGGGAGAATCCCAGCGCCAGGATAGTGCCACCTCTCCGCTTGGAGGGGGCTGAGCATCTGAGACCAATCACTGCTGTTCTGCTGCTGCTAAGTAACCGAACTCTGCCCACGGGCTCTTCCCCAGCGCCTTCTAGAACTTAAAGGGCTTCCCTTTTTTAATTCAGTGAGGATGGGAGTTCCAAAGAACTCCTAAGGAGGTGAATCCAGTAAGACCAGTTTGTGGGTTTGTGTGAAAGCCCAGGTCTCTCTGACATCTTTCTGCCTAATAGAAACAGATAGGCATGTGGTGAGCGGAGGGGAGGAGCCCTAGGTTGGGGGTGGATTGTGGGCAGGGGTGTTGGATTAACAGAGCTGGCAGAATCCCAGTCCTGCCACTGCCTGGCCCAGGCTCAGATTCTGCATTTGAAAGTGAAACTAGCAACACAGTCCCTTTTGTGGAATTGCTAGAAAGATGGTGAGCAGAGCTAGACTAGCTATGCCTAGCAAGTGACAACTGTCGTCCCTTTGGACTCATGGTGAAGAGCCCTGACCCAGTCCTGCAGCTCCTGGGTTGGTGCAAGTTCTGAGAGGTTCCATAAGGGGTGTGCTGGGTCAGCTCCAGGGTCAGCTGCAATCAACCCAGGTGGCCCCTGAGCTCTGCCGTTGCATCTTGTGCCCTGTTAGCACAGTCAGGGAGCTGAAGGACTGAGTACAGGCTTTGCTCAAGATCTTTAGATGAATTAACAGACAAGATGTACCCGGAAGTCATTCTTCCCTATGCCATCTACTGGGCACCCTTGTGTTTCAAGGTTGTGTTTCAAGGTTGGGTGAAGTGTGGGGTATTCCAACATGAGCTCCTTCTGTTGGACTATTGGGGTGACCCCTGAATGATTTCACAAAGACAAGTATTCCACTTCCAGTGCCTTAGTATGGGATGGCATACATTCTTTTTATGTAAAGCAGGCTCCCCAGGTCTGCCCCCTTTGTTCCAAGGCACAGGGCAGCCTTCCTCAGGCCTCTTCCATACCTGGAGACAGACTGTGTTGAAGGTCATCATCTTCTTCCAGAATTGAAAGTCTTTAAAAAGTGATGAGTCTGTTTCCCTCCTCTCCAGTGTCAGAATGCAGGAGCCTTTAGGCAGCCAGTGCCAGGCCTAGGACCTGCAGTGAAGGACCATGGGGTCAGATAGACAGACAGACTCACTTTGAGGACTGCAGGGCTTGCAGAAAAGGGGGCCTGAGGATGGAGGAGCTGAGCACAGGCTGTAGGAGGGCTAGGCAGTGAGGGCAGTGTGAGACGCCAACAGTAGGCCCGGTCCTTCCTTTCCCGCCGAGGTGGCCCTGGTGCCTGGCGTCTGTCCCCCTCAGCCTGGTGCACCCTTGGGTGCTAGCGCTAATCCAATCCTCCCCCAGTACTGACCCTCCAAGGCGCTCCAAGGCTGTGGTGGCTCAGCTCTGCACCTCGTGGGCCCAGAGCCCCAGGCGTTGACCCTGTGAGATTTTGGGCAAGGGCTTTGCCTTGTGGACAGGTCCTTCCCTTCCCTCATGCAGCCTGAAGGTGCTGCTACTCGTTCTGGTGGGAACGTCACCCTGTGTGCCTGATGAGCTGGCCAGGACACCTGCGGCTGCCCTTGTGGGCACTGCTTCACCTTCACCTTGCTGGCTTTGGCTCGGCACCCTGTCCTGTGAAGGTCACCGCAGTCTGTTCTGTCATTTGATCTCTCCAGAGGTAGGAGTGGCTGAGCAGAGCAGGCAGAGAGCCCAGGGCTGCCCTCAGCTGTCCATCTGCAGGGTGCCGGGTACACAGTGGCAGCCGTGCCTGTCCCTGTTCAGCAGGCATGACGCTTTCCTTCTTGTCAGAGGTGACCTGGAAGGCCTGCCAATGAGGGTCGTTTGTCAGAAGCATGAAGAAGCTGCTCATTTCCCATCTTCTGGGTTTTATGTTCTAAGACTCTGAGGGGCTTCAAGCCCTTTCTTTCTGTGAAAGTTCTGATGCCCTGCGGTGTTTGCCTGCATCCTGAAGATGTGAGGTCCAAGCAGTAGGGGGCTGTTTCTCTCTTGTGCCTTGTATTTTAGGATTTTTGGCTCATAGATCATACTGCTTAATGGAGAAGTTGGAAGCAAATGAGAATTGTTCTGTTTTTTTGGGAATATGATATATTCAAGTCCTGGGAGTCCAGCTTTAATTTTCTCCTGAATCTGGTGCAAGAGTCCACTTTTTGTTGCCTCTAGTACTTTTTTTTAACAAGTAACTTACTCTGTATTTGAGAGTTTTAGTAATATTGGTACAGGCTGCTATAGCAGCTGTGGCTTCCCTGGCGAGGTCTCAGAGCGGGCTACACGTAGCCCTGACTTACTTATTCCTGGGGTCTCCCAAGTTAAATGGTTAGGATTTGTTTTTTCCAAACCCCACTCCCTTTGGTGGTTTCCAGCTTTGGCCTCAGCAGGCACTGAGCTCTGCCGTGCTAGCACGGGAGGGTCTGCCCAGTCGGGGTGGCCTCAGGCTCTGGGCGCTTCCTGGCCTGGCCAGCCCTCCCCCGCTTCCCCTTCCGCCTCCCCGTTCCTCCCCCTCCTTTCCATCCTCCTTCCTCCCCTCCCTGGCCAGCAGAACTTTGGACAGCAGCTGTCTGGCTGTCCTGTTTCTGTGCCCACTTGAGAAGGGCCAGGCTGGGGCGCCAGCCGCCGCCTCATGGTGTGTGTGTGGACAGTGCTGTGGCCTGAGGGCCTGGGGACCGTGGAGGCTCCCCGCAGACCTGCTGGAGCTTCTGTTTGACACCCTCACTGTGCCCCTGCAGTTGTGGGTTTACAGATCATGTGCTTCTCTTCTGCATGGTGGATTTCCCACCCTGTCAGGGACCATGTGGGCACCTCACTGTCCTGCCCCAACTGTCACCTGGGCTTACACCTCACTGTGCTGCCCCCACCACGTGGCTCACACTGCATCTGCTTCAGCCCTACAGGGAGTCATGTCCTGACGGCTCTCCGGCCTGGGCCTGTCCTCCAGCGTGGAGGCCGTGGCCTGAGATGCCAGTGTGCTGATGCCCACAGTCTGGGAAGCCCTCTCCTTGTCTTTGCTGAGAGGCCCTGGAGTCCGAACTCTACCTAGCCTCCCTCCTCAGCCTTGAATGTATTGTTTCTTGGGGTCTTTTATTTTTATCTTGCGTCAGTTAATGCTTCTTCCAACTGCCCCACAGAAGGTAAGAAAGCACCCAGTGTTTTCCCACTGGAAAAAGTAATTGCTGTTGACACTCTGGTGCACTTCCTCCCCTTGTTTGGTTGGAGACTTTAGAATCCTATGTTTCCTGACAGCATAAATATGTAGAAAATCCTTTATCCACATCTTCAAGGCCACAGAGCACTCAGTGGCCAGAGACCCTGATCCTGTGCTGTCACCCACATTATTATTCTCTAATAATTTTTTGTATTTCTGTGGGGTCCATCGTGATTTTTCCTTTCTCATTTCTGATTCTGTTGACGTGTGTTGATTCTCTTTTTCTCTTAATAAGTCTGGCTAGAGGCTTATCTATTTTGTTTATTTTCTCAAAGAACCAGCTCTTGGTTTCATTGATTTTTTTTTCTCATTTTATTCTTCTCAATTTTATTTATTTCTTCTCTGATCTTTATTATGTCCCTCCTTTTGCTGACGTTAGGCCTCATTTGTTCTTCTTTTTCCAGTTTCGATAATTTTGACTTTCGACTATTCATTTGGGATTGTTCTTCCTTCTTTAAGTATGCCTGGATTGCTATATACTTTCCACTTAAACTGCTTTCGCTGCCTCCCATGAAGTTGGGGCTTTGTGTTGTTGTTGTTTGCTTCCATATATTGCTTGATCTCTATTTTAATTTGGTCGTTGATCCATTGATTATTTAGGAGCATGTTGTTAAGCCTCCATGTGTTTGTGAGCCTTTTTGCTTTCTTTGTACAATTTATTTCTAGTTTTTTACCTTTGTGGTCTGAAAAGTTGGTTGGTAGAATTTCAATGTTTTTGAATTTACTGAGGCTCTTTTTGTGGCCTAGTATGTGGTCTATTCTGGAGAATGTTCCATGTGCACTTGAGAAGAATGTGTATCCTGTTGCTTTTGGATATAAAGTTCTGTAGATTTCTATTAGGTCCATCTGTTCTAGTGTGTTGTTCAGTGCCTCTGTGTCCTTACTTATTTTCTGTCTGGGGCGTCTGTCCTTTGGAGTGAATGGTGTGTTGAAGTCTCCTAAAATGAATGATTGCATTCTATTTCCTCCTTTAGTTCTGTTAGCATTTGTTTCACATATGCTGGTGCTCCTGTGTTGGGTGCATATATGTTTATAATGGTTATATCCTCTTGTTGGACTGACCCCTTTATCATTATATAATGTCCTTCTTTATCTCTTGTTACTTTCTTTGTTTTGAAGTCTATTTTGTCTGATATTTTTATGTGGAATTTTAAGCAATACTTATTCAGTAGCTGAAACCTGCACATCCTTAGTTGTTTCCTTAAGGTGTACTCCTGGCAGTGGGTTGGCTGTGTCAAGTTTTCTCCCTTTGCATGTGGCCCAGTGCTGGCTCCCCTGGAGATCTGGGCTGCCGGTGGGCCATGCAACTGAGGATAACCCCCAGCCACCTGCCCTCACCCTTGGGCTTTGTGCAGATACTAATCAGACTTCATTTTATTTCCCTACAGCGCTGTGTGGTACTGCGTTTTCTGAAGTTTCCTCCAAATAGGAAGAAGGTAAAATCAGTGGATTTGCCACCCAGTCAGTAAAACAATTATTTAAGAAAACTTTGACTTTTCTTCTGATGCAGAAGTATTAAAGCTAATATAGGAATTTAAACATGACCTAGTGTGCAGTGCAGGGGTGTCCTCACTCCTGCAGGTCCTGGGCATCAGCTGCTGGGGGCACCATGGGCCGGTAACTTTGCCTGGGCCCTTGCCTTACAGCCCGCTGCCTAGGTTCCTGTCTGTGGGATTGCATCAGGGACAGTGATGCCTGTGATGCTGGGCCAAAGGTCAGTGTTACAAGTCACAACAGGCGGTTCAGATGGAGTGTTGGGTTTCTGCTCACTGAGTCATCCAAGCCAAATACTGTGGACGGCCTCAGGAAGCCGCTGCCGCCTGCCCACCCAGTGGCTGTCATCCTCAAGGGGAGACAAGGCAAGAGCCACAGGGCACAGCCCACCAGGGAGGGTGGCGGTTGTGTGTGGGGAGTGGAAACTGGGTGCAATATTGGGGTATGGGAGAGGGGTCAGCACCTCGTTTTGAGTCTGGAGAGGCAATGAGAAAGGGGATGAGGCAGATGGCTGATGACCATTCAGGGAAAGGCAGAACCACCAGGGAAATGCAGGGCCTTGGGGGTTAGCCTCCCAGAGGGAGGTGGGCCGGGGAGAAGCCGGGCGGGAGGAAGGTGAGGGCCAGGAACCTGGGCGTTTCTGCCTCAGCTGCTGCAGTCCTGCAGGCGCTATTCCCCCATCCCCAAGGGGGCGTGAGTGCCGGGGAGGCTGCCGCAGCCTCCCCCTCCCCACTCAGCATCTGGGAGCCTCTTTGGGTTTTCCTGTTTGCGTTTCTTGAGAAGGCATCTTCAAGGAACAATATACATCTTTATTATATAAAAGGCATGATGTGACACCAGCTGCCTTACTGGTGGGTCAGAGTGAGGGACGTGACTGGTTTCCTGTCCCATCCAAATCTCACAGCTTCTGGGTTCCCTAAGACTCAGACTGGGAGGAAGATACTTTATTCCATGTTTAGAGGCTGCAGAGTAAAGTCTAAATACCTGGTGGTTTTTGGACGGGAGAGATTTTCAAAGTTGATTCCTTGGGGGGAGGGGACACAGGCAACTGTGAGTGTTCCTGGAGGGAGGAGGATGGGGTGCAGGTCTTCTCAGACCAATGGCCCCAGGGGAGTGCAGAGGCAGCCTCGGGGGTCTGGAGGCCTTCCCAGCAAGACTTGCCCTTCTCCAAATCCAGGGCCACTGGCTTCTGTCTGAGAGGCAGGCCTAGTCCACTGCTTCCAGCACACCCTCGGAGGTCTCGGTCATTGAGGCTTTCCTGTGCTTCTCTTCTTACAGACCTTGGAAGAGATACTGCAGCACCTGCAGAACATAGTGGACTTTGGCAAAAATGTCATGAAAGAGTTTTTGGGAGAGAACTATGTTCATTGTGGGGTAAGTGATTTTTATGTGCGTGGATTAAGTTCATGGGTACATTCTGGGTTGGTCATACCAGCTCCTTGAGAAGAATTTGGAACTTGTCACTTGATTGTGGACCCTCATGTCATTTGCATCCTCCACGTGCATGTGTGTGCTGAGCACTGACTTTTTCCTAGCTGAGCAGCGTGAGGTTCAGAGGGACCATGTGAGACCCCCACGTGCTGGGACCCCAGCCTCTGCACCAGCCCCTGGAGGCCTCCAGCTTGGTGAGGACTCCTGAGTGAGCTCCACACGCTGTCACCGAGCACTCTGCCCCTGAGGGCACCTTTGAGCAATTTAGGGAGAAAGGGCCTCGTGCTGGGAGATGTGCCCTGCCTGGTGGGAGAGCCCCTGCCCTGGGGCGGTCTGCCCTGCTGGCTCTTTCCGAGCTCAGTATCCAAGAGGAGTGCCTGTTCAGGCGTGGTCTGCTGTGTGAACACAGGTGCTGGGGTGGCGGAGGAAGCCACAGTGGCCCTGTGGTCCTGGTGAGCTTCAGAGCAGGTGACCTGGGCCCCGCCTGGGCTGGTTGCTCTGTGCCCCGGCTTTGATTGCATCTGCTTCTCTGCTCCTGTGGCCTTTCCACGTGCCTCGCATCAGAGCCCTGAGCAGGCCAGCAGCTCTGCCACCTGCGCCCCCAGAGCCCTACCTGTTTTGTATGGACGGGCTGCATCCCATGTCCACCCCAAGGACGCCACCCTGAGGACAGTGAGTGGCAGCTGCTTGGGAGCTGAAGGGCTGCCTGACTCCCCCTGAGGAGGGCCCTTCCATGGCGTCCGTGGACTAAGGGTGGTGCCGTGGGGCACTGGGGCTGTGCTCTCATCTGGAGGCTGGTGGAGGGGCCCTCCTCTGGTGTGGCCCAGCCTTGCAGCATGGTGGTCCTGACGTGGACTCAGCCCAGTACCCCGTGCAGCCTCAGAGGAGGCCTGGCCCAGTCCTGCTGCTGTTTCCACAGCATCCAAGTGGCTCTGGTGGTGTGGACAGCCCGAGGCAGTGTGGCACCGCACAGGGGAGTCACCACCCCAGGGAGATCCCCAGATGCTCAGTGGGTTATAAACCTGAAACTGGGTCTGAGCGGCCTGCTCGGGCAGCCACTGGCATCTGAGTGAGTACGGGTGGGCCACTGGGAGTGTGTCCCTGCCCTGCTGATGGAAAGTTCTTTGTCTTGCATCACCTGGGGCTCTAGGCCTGCGTCCCGAGGGTGAGAGGGCTGGGGTGCCAGCGGCACAGAAGGGTGATGCAGAGTCAGGGTTCCATGGGCGGGGCTTGGCAGGTTGAACAGCGTCTGGATGTCCCCCAGGGCCTAGGGCTTGCTCTGGCTTGTCTGGTTCTGTTTACGGGGTGGGGCTCTGGGCAGACGTGGTGAGCCCGTGCGGTCACATCCTGGGAGCGTCTGTTCCACAGAGAACCTCCTCCAGGAGGCACAAGGCAGTGGCTCTCCCTCCAGGCGGGTGCACCCCTCAGGCCCAGGCAGGGCCGATGGGTGGGAGCAGCACCTCTCTGGCCACACGAGACCATGTCCAGGTAAAACCAGGCTGTGTAAAACATGCTCTTTTCTCTGGCTGCAGACCTGGGTCGGGCCGAGTAGCACTCCCAGAAGTGGTCCTTCTCTGTGTCCTGGGGCAAGGCCCAGACCCAGCAGCAGACACACCTCATACTGCGCCACCTTAGCCCTGCCAGGCTGGTCTGGGGACGGGCCTGGGCCTGTCTCCAGGGCAGCTGGCAATTAGGAACTGGGTCGAGGCTGTTCATTGCCCTTGTGCTGCCAGGCATCCGCGCCTTCAGTGCAGGGGCAGTGGGCCACAGTGGGATTCAGAATTTCTGCCTCTCTTTGGCTGACTCGGCTCCCCGAGGTGGGATGCCGCAGGGCAGCCTCTGCTTCACACATGAACTTGACATGGCAGAGGCGTTGGCCGGCCCCCAGGTGCTGAGTGAGGGGATGTGTTCCCAGGGAACTTCCAGAAGACTGGATGGGATGCTCTGCTCAGCCCTCCAGGCTGGTGGCTCTGTCCTCGCAGTGTCCCTTCACCCCTGCCAGGGCTGGTGTGTCAGCAGGGAAGCCTCTGTGTCACACTCCGTGGGAGCATTGGTGGGCTCACCAGCTTCTCCCTAAGTGGATGCACTGTGTGGGGCAGGCCAGCCACCTGGCCATCAGGTGGGAGGTCACAGTGAATACTGGCTTGTGAATCTGAATCAAGGGTTGGTAATGCAAACTGATGTTAAGGATGCCTACTGGAATCATTGTTCTAACTTAAAACATAGATAGAGTTCCTTATAAAATCAGGAATTTAAGGTTGTTCAAAGAAGTGTGCTTTTCCTTTTCACTCTGTTGCCTGTGCCCAGAGACCAGGCCATGTCAGCAGGTAAGCACGGTGGCGTGAGTAGCCGAGCCGCTTTTGGCTCTCACTTGACCCTGTCTGCTCCTCTCCAAGTCTCCATCATGCAGCGAGGATGCCTGTGCCAGGCTAGATCCCTTGCCCAGCCAGTGAGCATCTGGAGCCCACCATGTGTGGCCTGGGATGGGCGTGGCTGGCGTGACAGGGTGGGACAGGGAGAGATGGAGAAGGTCCTCCAGGACCTTGTGGTGTGCGGGCCAAGGTGTTCCTGTGAGAGGATCTTGATGAGGTTCTCTATCTTTCTTGCACAGCAGCTGTAATCTTCACTTTGTACTTGTGGTTTCTTTAAAGTGAAGGGAAAACTTGGTCTTTTGTGAGATGGTCTAAGTTTTGAATTTTTTAAATTATTACTCCTTTCCTTTGTTTCATTTTACCTAATTCAGAACTAAATTTTTTAGTAACTCATCTGTTATCAGTTTGTAGCATGTTTTGGTAAATGGCAAAATCATGAATTAAGTTGTACAGCAGCCTGGCAAGGAAACTACGTTGGAACCAGAGCAAACTGCAGGCCGGCCATGGGCCCACATGCATGTGGCAGGATGGGTGTGCCCATGTGACGGTGCAGCCGTGGCCTGCACATGCATGTGGCAGGGTGGCTATGGGCCAGCATGTCCATGTGACAGGGTGGGACAGGGAGAGATGGAGAAGGTGCAGCATGTAGGAGGCAGGACTCGGGCATTCTCATTCTAGGTTGGTCTCTTAAGTCCTGTGGGGACTTCTTCAGAAGTCAGCATTCTGCCACACTGTAAACAAGGGGAGACAGTGAGCAACATAGGTTAGGTAAAGCCTCTTACTTAGGAAAACTGCAAAAAAACAGCAAAGGGGAGAGAAATTACTCTGTTTTCCACTCAAATGCACTGAACATCAGGCCCCCTGAGTCCCGTGGCTGAGGGCCACACAGGATGCCTCACCTAGAGGTGGGTAACTCAATCTAACCCTTTCCTCCAGTGCTCCTTGGTGGGTGTGAGAAGCCTGATGCTGTCCGAGGAGAAAGCCGGAGGGGAGTGTTTGTGCAGGCAGTGAACTGCTTCTGGCCCCCGCCCACTATCCACAGACCACGAAAGGGAGACAAGGTGCTGGTGGCCGTCTGCTTGTCCCCACCATCGTGGACACCAGCTGCTCTGAGGAGGGCCTCTCTCAGTGAAGAGAAACAGCATGTCTCTGGGTAATCAGAATAGGTCCTTAAATCATGGAGCTACTTTGACCCTAAAACCCACATACTGAATATTTCCTGAATGTGGTAAAATTTGGGCCACATAAACTTTTCCATTTTTCAGCATGCATTTCTGTGGAATAAAGTGCATTCACGTTGTGCAACACAATGCTGAATATTTCACATTTGTTCTTACAGGAGGTTGTTCAGCTGCCTTTAGATTTTGTGAAACAACTTTGTTTAAAGATACAGTCTGAGAGACCAGGTAAGGTCTTTTACCTTGTAAGCTTTGTAATTTAAAATACTCCATTTAAAAAGTGTTTGTTATTATCACTCATGTTGGGTAGACACTGTTTTGAGCAATTCTTTTGCCAGAAACTTCAATATCAAGGGTAGAAATCCTAGGAGCTCAAAATTCCATTCAGGACAGCAGTTGCCAAATACCCTCCCTCTCTGCCCGCGCCCCTCACATGCCCTCCCCGTTCCCTCACGTGCCTCCCCTCTTGCCTCAAGTACCCTCCCCACACTTGCTCATGGGGTAACGACAGTAACCACATTAAAGCCTTTTCTTTACAGTCAGAGACTGAGTCACAGGAAGTCTTCTTGTCGGAGTGGCCATGCCCTCTCCAAGCCACAGCCAGGCAGTCAGGGTATGCAGGTGGCCCACCTGGCATCCTTCCTCCTTGGTTAGAAAGTGGAAAACAAACAGGACACATGCCCTGGAGCTCCCAGTTTGGCAAGCAGCAAGGAACAGAGCTCCGTGTGTGGGAAAGGGCGGGGAGGAGGAGGGGGCTGCGGGCATGTCACCACAGGACCGTCTCAGCTGTTTTCCTTGGGACCAATCAGCCTGACGCCTGCTCTCGGACTCTGCGGCCCAGCCACTAGTGCTGCTGTGTGTCATCGCTTTAGTTTATAATTAGCAGTTGGCTCCATACTACTTGATGGCACTAAACTCTGTCCCCCTTGTGATAACGACTCATCATCACCCTGCTCAGTGGCAGGACACCGACTCCACTGGGGCCTGAGGTGGCTTTTGAGTGGCTGCCCAGAAGAGCCCCTTGCAGCCGGGGCTGAGGTAGCACATGTCTGGGCGTTGTGAGGGAGCCACTCTGCCACCAGCAGGAGGCTGCGGCCTCCCTCCTCTGAGCCCCTTGATGAAGTGAATGGCAGGATGGAGCAGTCCTGAGACTGTCCTTCTTCTAAGGACAATTGCATGTTAGGGAGTCCCCTAGAATAACCTCAGGTCTGATCACTTGCTGGAAGGATTCACGAAGCTGTTCTGTGAGCTTTGAGCGTCCGCCCCCACCAGAGTCGTGCGGATGGTGCCCCCTTCTCCAGCACTGATGGTGAATGGGCACAAGGAGGATGCCTGTGTCGGCTCCTGTGGATGCTTGGCTGCATGGGCATAGGACTACCTGTGTGGCTGCCCCAGCCTCCGCCAGCCCTCCTTGGGGCAGGACTGATCCCCCGCAGAAGCCCACCAAGCTGCCTTTTCTCTCTTGTGCCAATCCTCAGGATTTCCCTTGCTGTTTTCCAGAATCTCGCTGTGATAAGGACCTGGACACTCTCAGTGGTTATGCTCTGTGCCTTCCTAACTTAGCCAGACTTCAGACCTACCGTTTTGCAGAGCACCGACCGATTCTGTGTGTAGAGATCAAGGTGAACTTTTGGCAGTGGGAAGTGGTGTGGGGAGAGGGAAAGGTGAGTCCAGGCTCTGAGTCCATGAGTCACCTGCTGGAGCACACTTTCCATAGCAGCTCCTGTTCCCTGGGGCCCTTTCTCAGGCCCAGGCCACCCCCAGCTCCCAAAGACTCGGCGTGCTTCCTGCTGCACCTCATGACTCTGGTTTCTTCTACTGGCCAGACCCGAGGGGCATGGCTCCCCAGGGCTCCAGATGTGGCCCGCTCCTGGGCGTTACTACAGGCAGCCAGCCAGGGATGAAGCCCTGGCCAATGTCTACCAGGGGGAAATGGGTCAGGTTCCACCCTCCCTAGAGGTTTTCCCTGGAGGGTGCAGCTCCCCAAGCTCCCTGACCTCCTTAGGTCCAGCCATGCCCTCATAGCCACTTGGTGACACTGCACCCCATGCTACCAGAGCTCAGTTTGAAGGTCACCCTTTAAACCAGGTAGCCCTCCATTCCTTAGCTTCTGTCCTGCTCTGGAGAGACCTCCCTAGGGACACAGAAGCATATATGACTTTGAAGGCTGCAGTCTGTTGCAGCCAGGAGTCCTGAGGCAGGGGTGACAATGGGCATCACTTGTCTCCCTCAGGAAGCCTCCCAGATGACCCAGGCCTTTTCTACCTCCTCTGCCAAACCCCTGTGGGGACATCTGGGTTACCTGGGGCCCTGAGCACTCATATGCCTGGGTGCTCAGTGTAGACTGTTGTTTTGCTCCTCCAACCAGAGGTGCGTGTCTCAGGTGTCACAAATGGCAGGCGGCATGGTTTTCAGTGCCCTGACAGCAAGCTCAGGCTTGTATGTCATGATGACCAAAACCGTGGCTTACAAAGGCAGCTGGAACTGGGAGCCTAGCCACCGTCAGATGGGCCCTGCCATCCCCACCTTCTTGCCAGAGGGCACAGGGTTCTGCCTCCTGGAGCTTACGTGCTCGGGGCAGCTCCACACTCCAGGACACTTTGCAGTTGCTTTCTGTAGTGAGGACCAAAGCCACTGTGTCTGCTTTGCCAAGCCAGCAGGTGAGGTACGGCTGCTTCCCCTGTGAGAAGGAGGCAGCGGCAGAGATGTTTCTGTGATGCGATGAGCAAGGTGTCAGTTCCCACTGCAGCCTGAAGAGAAAAGCGGCCTTCGGGGATGTTTCTATGTAGCCCTTGCTGATTGTCCTGGGTATTGCACTTCATCATCTTGTAGTTGCTTATATATATACTTAAAGGTACATGATTTCTCCCTAAGCATTTTTTCTTCTTCCATATTTATTTTGCAGCCAAAATGTGGGTTTATTCCTTTCTCCAGTGATGTCACGCAGGAGACTAAGCGTCGGGTGTGCCGGTACTGCATGCACCAGCACCTCAAGGTGAGCCTGCTGCTGGCCCACTTCCCTCTGTGCAGAGCTTGGGGCGGCGGCTGGCCCAATGTGTGGCCACTTGCAGTTTTCAGAAGAGAAAAGAAAATGTAGATATTTATTCTTTACTTTTCATTTCACAAATAGTTAATGCTTAGCCATTTTTTGGTTTTAATTTGGGATGTAATTTAGAGACCTAAGATTCACCCGTGAAAATTATATAATTCAGTGGATTTCAGTATATTCACAAGTTGTGCAACCATCACCACTACCTAATTTCAGAGCATTTTCATCACAGAAAGAAGTCCTGTCTCTGTTGGCAGTCCTCTCCAATCCCCTGTCCTGCCAGCTCCTGGCAACCCCCATCCGATCTGTCTGCCTGGAGATCTCATGGGAACGGACGCGTGGCGTTGTGTGCTCTCCCGTGACTGTCCTCTTCCCTGAGCACGATGATGGCGAGGCCTGTCACGCTGCCGGCTGTGCCAGCCTGTTGGGCCGCTTGCAGGTGGAGAGGTTCTGCCGCAGGGCAGCACTTGGTCTGTCTGCTGTTCCTGTGGACATGTGGGTTGTGCCTGCCTTTCGGTTGGCGTGGATAGTGTTGCTCTGAGCACATGTACCTTCACTTGTTAGAGTCTGCTGTGCTTTCAGTTCTTCTGTGTGACTCCTAGGAGTGGAATTGCTGAGCCCTAGGGAAATTCTGTTTAACCTTTTGAGGAAGTGTCAAACTGTTTCCACAGCAGTTACACCATTTTATATTCCCACCAGGGATGTATGAGAGTTCTGATTTCTCTGCATCCTGGCTAGCACTTGCAATTGTCCATTTGTGATGACAGCCATCCTGATGGGCTTGAGGATGTCACTGTCATTTTCATTTGTATTTCCCTAATGGTTAATGATATTGAACACCTTTTCATGCGCTTACTGGCCATTTGTATGTCTTGGAGAAATGTCTATTTTGCCCATTTTTGAATTGTCCCTCTTTTCATGTGTTTATTAACCATTTGTATGTCTTTGGAGAAATGTCAAATCTTTTGCCCATTTTTGAATTCGGTTGTTTCTTTGTTGTTGAGTTTTAGGGTTCCCTATAGATTCTGGATATTAATCTTTTATTAGATACATGGTTTGCCAATATTTTCTTCCATTCTGTTTGTTGCCTTTTTACTCTGTTGAAAATGTCCTCTGCACAAAAATCTTTAATTTTGAGTTGAAAATGTCCTCTGCACAAAAATCTTTAATTTTGATAAACTCTTACCTTTTCTTTTGTTGCCTGTGCTTTTAGTCTCATATCCAAGAAATCTTTACCTAAGCCAAGGTCATGAAGCTTTTTTCCTATGTTTTCTAATGACAATTGTATAGTTTTAGCCCTTACATTTAGATCTTTGACCCATTTTGAGTTAATTTTTGTATATGGTGTGAAGTTAAGGGTCTAATGTCATTCTTTTGCAGATGGATGTCCAGTTGTCCAAGCACCATTTGTTGAAAAGACAGTCCTTCATTGAATGATCTTGGCACCCTTATTAAAGATGTTTTTGGCAGCTTATGTGATGGTTTATTTTTGGGCTGTCTATTCCATTCCTTTGGTCCATATGTCTGTCCTTATGCCAGTAGGACACTATTTTCATTCTGTAGCTTTGTATTAGGTTTTGAAATCAGGGAGTTTTGGTCCTCCAGCTTTGTTCTTTTTCAAGATTGTTTTGGCTACTTGGGGCCCCTTACAACTATGTATCTTTCAAGGATTAGATTTTTCATTTCTGCAAAAAAAGGCTGTTAGAATTTTGACATATTGCAGGAATCTGTAAACCCTTTGGGTAGTATTGCCATCTAACACTATTAAGTCCTATTAAGTCTTATAATCATGTTGTTGCCTGGCTGTCTTTCCACTTTTCTAGGTTTTCTTTAATTGCTTTCTGCAATGTTTTGTAGTTTTCAATATACAGTCTTTCACCACCTTCATTACATTTATTTCTAGGTATTTTATTCTTTTGGAATATTGTAAATGTGATTACAAATGCAATTGCTTCCTTAATTACCTTTTTGGATTGTTCATTGCTAGTGTATAGAAGCACAACTCATCTTTGTGTGTTGATCTTGTACCCTGTAACTTAGTGAATTTTTTATTAGCTCTAGTGGTTTTTTTTTGTAGATTCTTTGGAGTTTTCTGTATATAGGATTTTGTTGTCTGTGGATAGAGTTTTACTCCTTCCTTTCCAATTTAGATGTCTTTAGCTTCTCAATTTCTTCAGAGAGACCACCTGGGATTTTTGATAGGGTTTGGGAGGTGTTGTAAATCGGTTTGAGAGGTGTTGCCACTTTAAGAGTATTAATACTCTATGGACAGATGATGCCTTTCCATTTATTTAGATCTTTAATTTCTCGCCACACTGAAACTCTGTACCCATTAAACAACTCCACGTTTCTTCCTTCCCCAAGTTCCTGGCAACCACCACCATAGTTTCTATCCCTATGAATTTGACTACTGTAGGGACCTCATAAAAGTGGAATCGTACAGTATTTCTCCATTTGTGTCTGGCTTTTTTCACTCAGCATAATGTTCTCAAAATTCATCCGTGCTGTGACATGTGTCCAAATTTCCTTCTTTTTAAGGCTGAATAATGTTCTGTTGTATTCACATACCACATCTCGTTTATCCATTCATCCACTAATGGACTCTCGGGCTGTGTCTGCCTTTCTGTTGTTGTGAATAATGCTGCTGTGAACATCCATGTGCAAATATCTTTTGAGACTCTTCAATTCTTTTAAGTATATGCCCAGGAGTGGAATTGCTGGATCACATGTAGCTCTGTTTCTAATGATGAGGAACCTCCCTGCAGTTTTCCATGGCGGCTGCAGCACTTCACATCCTACAGCAGTGCACAGGGGTTGCAATTTCCCCACATCCTGACCAGCACTTGCTCCTTTCTGTTTTGTGAGAGGGGCCATCCTAGTTAGTGGGTGTGAGGTGAGATGTGCAGTTGGGTTTTGTGTATTGATCTCTTATCCTGCCACCCCTGATGAACTTGTTTCTTTGCTCTAATTTCTTGTTGTTTCTTAGGATTTTCTAGATAAATGACACAACCATTTGAAAATAGAATTTCACCTCTTTCTTCCGAATGTGGATGCCCTTTCTTCGTTTCCTCCCTAATTCTGGCTGGAACTTCCAGCATAGTGTTGTGTAGAAGTAGCAGGAGTGGGCCTCCCTGTCTCGTTCCTGATCTTAGGGGGAAGCTGTCAAGTTTTCTCTGTGGAGTGTTCACTGTGAGTTTGTCACAGACACTATTTTTGAGTGTTTTGCTTCTTTTTTTCAGTCATGAAAGGATGCTGGGTTTTATCAAATGCTTGTCCTGCATCTACATAAATGAGCACTAAGTGTTTGCATCTTTCTACCGATGTGGTGTATTACATTGATTTTCATATGCTGTACCACCCTGTGTTTCTGGGATAAATGACACGAGTATAGGTGTATAATCCCTATGTTGCCAATTTGGTTTGTTAGTTTTTGTTGAGGATTTTTTTCTTAAGGGATATTGGTCTGTGGTTTTCTTTTCTAGTGATGTTTTGTCTGGTTTTGGAACCAGGGTAATAAGTGGCTTCACAGAATGAGTTAAGAAGTGTTTCTTTTTCTCTGCTCTTCAAATGTTTGGAAGAGTTTGAGCATCTATGTTGATTCTTCATTACATGTTGTGTAGAATTCACAGTGGAGCATCCAGTCCTGGGATTTCCTTTGTTGGAAGGTTTTTGATTACTGATTCAGTCTCCTTTTACTGGTCTATTTGAATTCTCTATTTCTGCTTGAATCAGTTTTGGCAGTTGTGTACTGCTAAGAATTTGTCCATTTCATCTAATTTGTTGGCAAACGGTTGTTCATAGGATTCCTGTAACATTCTTTTTAGCTCTGCAAAGCTGCTCACCATAGCATTTCTTTCATTCCTGATTTTAGTCATTTGAGTCCTTTTCTTGATCTAGCTAATGGATTACTGTATTAGTTGATCTCAGAGAAACAACTTCTGGTTTTGTTCATTTTCTCCATACTTCCCCTCTGTTCTCTGCTTCATCTGTGTCTGCTCTAATCTTTACTCTTTTCTTCCTTCTATTTGCAGTGGGTTCAGTTTGGTCATATTTTCTAGTTTTTTTTTTTAGGGTAGAAAATTAGGTTATTGATTTAGTATAGGAGTTTACAAGTACAAATTTCCCTCTAAGCACTGTGTTCTCTGCTTCCCACAAATTTTGTTATATTGTATTTTCATTTCAGTTTATCTCAACTTACTTTCTGATTTCTTCTTTGACTCACTTATTGGGAATATATTTTCACATATTTGTGTTTCTCAGATTTCCTTGTTACTGATTCCTAACTTCCACTGAGTTTAGAGAATATTTACATAATTTCATGACTTCCTAAATTTACTGTATTGTGGTTTAACAAATGGTTTCTCTTCCAGAATGTTTCATGTTTACTTGATTAGAATGCGCAATCTGCCGTTGTTGGGTGGAGTGTTCTGTAGGTATTTGTTAGGTTAATAGTTTTGCTCAAGTCTTCTACTTCCTTGCTGATTTTCTACTTAGTTGTTCTTCGTATTAATTTAACATCTTAACCTAAACAATCTAGCTCAATTAGTACCAATTTAATCTTGATGGTATACAAAAGCTCTCTTGTGCAGCTTTGTTGCTTCCACTCCATTGGTTACTGTCTTTACAAATTAAACTTTTATACATTGTGTGCTTGTTGATACAGATTTGTAATAGTTTCCTTATGCTGGGGGTGGTGGTGAATGGGACCATGTTATTTCTTTTAAATGGTAAAGGATAAAAAAGTTACAAACAACATGTATTTAGATGGTCTTTCATATTTACCGATGCAGTTCCTGCAGTTCCTTCCCTGAGCCCTTTGTTTCTTCATATGGATTCGAGTTACTGTCTGGAGCCCTTTCATTTCACCTGCAGAATTTTCCTCAGCATTTCTTGTAGGGCAGGTTTGCTAGCATCAGATATTTGTAGTTATTGTTCATCTGGCCATG